AAATCTGATTATTTTAATTGAAACATAATATTTAAGTAATTAGAAAAGATGAAGAGAAAAGAAGAAGAGTCGTGTTTATAAGAATATTAAGAAGTTTCTGATAGTTTTATAAAATCGATTAGAATTTGTTAAAAATGTTGATAAAAATGTACGTGTACTACTACATTTATCACAAGAATCACTCTTATCTCCTCCACCTAGGTGTGCTCCCCGATAATCTATCTGCATACTCGGAAACCCGATTTCTCTATCGCTTTTCTCAAGTATATATAAACCCTAGCACGTCGCCCAATCATTATACCGTTTATTATCCCAGTCCGGGTTCTATTTTACAACAACTTTGGAACAATCAATTACATTCGAGCGGTCGATCGCGTTACACGCGAAAAGTGATTAACGTTTTACCAGTGATAACATCAATTTATCAGTATAACTGATAACGGGCAGCATTCAGTCTCAGTGAAACGTATAGTGAATAGTTATACAATAACTTTTTTGTTTTGTTAACTACGTTGCTGAATAATATCAATGTTAAAAATTGGAAATCGTACATATATACTTAAGTGGTCTGTTGTTCAATTCTGATAATAGAATCTCTGACAATCTCAAGTGGTATTAATTTTCTTAGATTCTATTGAAACGATTTCAATTAACAATTCCTTAATTATATTCATTATTGAATTATATAAATGAAACAAAAGTGACAATAATTTCTGTTTTATATAAATAAATGAATGAAGAAATATGGAAGTCGTTTTCTTCCATAAGAGTTCTTTATACTGTACGATTTTCAAATTTTTACTCACTATACGTTTCTCAGATTTGTTATACGTAAGTGGAAAACGAATTAAGAATTTTAATCGTAATTAAAAGTAATTGAAGTAATTGATTGTGTTCGATATTAGGGATTATTGAGAGACAGAGCACACCTATGGAATTATTATTGGCCTGTGGATGACGTGACCTGAGGGAACGGTGAACTGTATCGGCAAGACTTAAAGTTGGAAGTGAGGATCTAGGCAGTGTGAGCTGACTGAAATCGCTCGAGTTTATATTAATTGCCAGATCTAACTCTTCCAGCTCAAAGTCTTGCTCGAAGTTGTCGTCGTCGTTATTCTATAACAAACAGGCAAAACCGGAATCTGACTTAATCATCATGAAGGGAACCGTCCAAATTGGATTTATACAAATCACTGATGTATATACATAGTTGAAGATTTTATTAATTTTTGTAAAGAAGGAAAAGATGTAAGGGGCTAAAGGTTCAAGTGGAGTAGTGGTCTCTACGCTTTGAATATTTTAACAGAAAAGTGAGATTCAACTCCTCCAACTTATTCCTTTCCTCTAATACTCTTCGTACCCATCTTATTTATTCTTCTTTCATTTTCTATTTGAATAAATGTATCATTTATTATAATACACAGTAACAGATAATAAATTATATATATTTAAGAATCATTATTCTTCTGGCAACACTGATTTTTTAATTTATTTATGTAATAAATAAACTATGTACAATCCTGTGAATAAATTCAATACTATGATTAATATATATAATATTAAATCGTTGACTGGATAAAATGAATATTAAATCAAATTATAAACATTATTTTTATTTTATACTCTTCAATAAAAAATTCATATTAATTTCAATAAGTAATGGAATTTTTAGTATTATTATAAGTGTCTTTTTATATCATTATAGACAGCAATCGTACACCTATAACTGAATGCGAGAGCAGATAAGGGTAGATAAGCGTTACGATGGATAACGATAAAATCGTTTCTTATCAGTTACCGCGGTTTCCACACAATCATAATTCCACGATCGAGCGATACTCCTGTTAAATAAATAAATGTAATTTTTATGGTATAATGAACTCTGCGGCATGGTAGAAAATACGCCAATTGGAATTTTTATTAAAAAACAAAAATCTGTCTTCCCTTTCTCCTCTTTTTCAAGCAACAGACTCTTATGCTAAATTAATTGCTAATTTGTATGGAATTTCTTTTAATTAATTTCATTGTTTCCTTTCACACAATTTTACAAGCAATTTGGTCACATTTCTGTTAATAGATCTCAAGATTAGACGAGGATTGCGTGAACGCGTTGCTAACATTGGAATATCTATGCCTACTGAGCCAACTGGCACCAAATGAAAAGAGTACGGAAATCGTATATGGCCAGACGCCTCATTATAACAAATATAAGAAATCTAATAAAAATGTAAGGAACAGTAATAGCAATAATTGCAATATCGAGGACTCGTGCGGGGGAATCGGGAACGTCGAGGAGAGGATAAATATAAGGAATTTCGTTTTCGATGCTTTAAATATATTACCCAAATGCCAACAGGCTGAATTGTTATACTCAATGTTTAATGATGGTAAGCGCTTTATCTCTTAAAAAAATTGAATCTATGTAATTATCAGTTATCAATTTTTTATTACAGGGAACAACGATGAGAATCTAGGAAGCGCTAATAAAATATTAATGGACAATTATTTAGAATGCATAAAACAATTGCATAATAAGGAATTATTGTTAACTTCTGCCGAATCGCAAAGATTCACGAAATTGCTGTTGGAAAGGCGAAAAGCTGGGGGACTGCCACTAAAAGGTAATCACTCAGTTCCCTCGGCTTTTATATTTTAAACTTCTACTTTTATTTTTATATGTTCTTTCAGAAAATTACTGGGATCTTGATCATGCTTCGGAGTAATAAGCGTTACGATGGATAACGATAAAATCGTTTCTTATCAGTTACCGCGGTTTCCACACAATCATAATTCCACGATCGAGCGATACTCCTGTTAAATAAATAAATGTAATTTTTATGGTATAATGAACTCTGCGGCATGGTAGAAAATACGCCAATTGGAATTTTTATTAAAAAACAAAAATCTGTCTTCCCTTTCTCCTCTTTTTCAAGCAACAGACTCTTATGCTAAATTAATTGCTAATTTGTATGGAATTTCTTTTAATTAATTTCATTGTTTCCTTTCACACAATTTTACAAGCAATTTGGTCACATTTCTGTTAATAGATCTCAAGATTAGACGAGGATTGCGTGAACGCGTTGCTAACATTGGAATATCTATGCCTACTGAGCCAACTGGCACCAAATGAAAAGAGTACGGAAATCGTATATGGCCAGACGCCTCATTATAACAAATATAAGAAATCTAATAAAAATGTAAGGAACAGTAATAGCAATAATTGCAATATCGAGGACTCGTGCGGGGGAATCGGGAACGTCGAGGAGAGGATAAATATAAGGAATTTCGTTTTCGATGCTTTAAATATATTACCCAAATGCCAACAGGCTGAATTGTTATACTCAATGTTTAATGATGGTAAGCGCTTTATCTCTTAAAAAAATTGAATCTATGTAATTATCAGTTATCAATTTTTTATTACAGGGAACAACGATGAGAATCTAGGAAGCGCTAATAAAATATTAATGGACAATTATTTAGAATGCATAAAACAATTGCATAATAAGGAATTATTGTTAACTTCTGCCGAATCGCAAAGATTCACGAAATTGCTGTTGGAAAGGCGAAAAGCTGGGGGACTGCCACTAAAAGGTAATCACTCAGTTCCCTCGGCTTTTATATTTTAAACTTCTACTTTTATTTTTATATGTTCTTTCAGAAAATTACTGGGATCTTGATCATGCTTCGGAGTGTCCGCGTTGGAAATGTTTTATAAAAGGAATCACAGCTTCTCATGTTATCATTACTATTCTACCAGCCTCTGACAAGGATGCTCGATTGTTTATCAATAAACCATCAAGCAACAAAGAATTGCATCCAAACTGCGAGGAAGATGATTCCGTAAATAGCAATGAAGAACATTCTAAAAACGTAGAAAAATATTCTAAAGACGAAGAGCATTTAATCAGCAAAACAGACGGAGAAGAGTATTCGATTAATAAGAATGAAAAGTATTCGAACAGCGATGAATATTCAACGGTTAATAACGAAAATTCTGAGATGCTTAATACGAATTCGAGTTCGATTGGTGAATTAAATAAAATAGATAGGAATGATAACGATTGCGAGGAACCAAAATTATTTGACCTTTGTAATAATTCTCAAATTATTAACGAATCAAGCAGGATGATTAAAGTCAATAACGATTCTAAAAGTTCGACCATTGATTCTTCTGATGATTCCAAGTGTTCGAAGAGAGATTCAAAAACTAACGAAGATTCTCTGATGATTCCGGTTTATGTATACGATTGTTCCTTGAGTTTCCTGATTGACACTTTCGTCGACAAGTTAAAAGCGACGCGTAACAAGGATATCTATCAGGATAACAGATTTCGGATCGAGGGAAAGGACCATGGGGATATAGTTGAACTTAGGGAATGCGGAGGCGCCGGTTCGAAGCCAGTGACCCCGGAGCCGAGGAGCGAAGACTCGGACAATACTTCTAATGGTGAGTAAAAAATAATAGACAAAATTTTATATAAACAAATGAATAAAGCATGTGAAGAAAATAGTTGTTACGGTTTATTATTTCAGAGCAAAAGAGTCTTATGGAGCATTTGAAACAGTTGAGCCTCTCTCACTGCCACTGCTTCGTAGTCGCGGTGTACACGTCCCTCGTTCTCAACGAACCCTTGACTTACAACGACATGGAATCGGCGATCGAACAGTGCGAGGAATCTCTGATCGAAATTAATATTACAAGTTATTTACGATCGGTCTGTAAGCATTTGAACAAACTGGAAGACGAGGATCGTTTGAGTAAATCGGGAACGAAGGACTGCGATGGAGTTAAACAGTTGCATGAATTAGTTAAAGAGAAATTTGAGAGGATCATCGGAGTGGCGTTCAGGCCTGTTCCGGCTCATCCAGAATTTTATTACTGCGCGCCGTCGAAAACTGAGAACGACACGGTATGTTTAAAATATAATTAATAATTATAAGATGTTGAAAATTATTCAGTCTGATGTTATATATAGGAATTGGGAGAAATGCAGAAATCGGACAGTGATGATGATTTAGAAAATTTAATTTTTGATGGGAATATTAATAGAAAAGGTAAAGTTGTAATAAATTATATTCATTTATTTTTCGACCATCAAATTGAAGACAATTATAAATCTGCATAGTTTCCATTATTATTATTATTATTATTTCTAGGAAATTCATCGTGGCCACCGTTGAATACTGATTTTCAAACGAAAACCTCTCAACCCTTATTTTTACAATTGAGCTGCTCGATTCGTTTAAAACATCGTTCGTTATTAACTACGGTCCCTGTAAAAAATTTGCCAACTTGTTTTTTCGAAATTCTGGAAAAGCTGGAAAATCAAGAAGCTGAGAAAGACGATATTTTAAATTCGAAACTGTCTGATTTGAAAATCACTTTGGACATTATTTCTTTGAACTTGCCGAAAGAAGTTTCCGAGAAATATCTGGAGGATAATATAAAGAATGATATCTTCGAGAAAGAGGGGAAGATGAATTATTTGAAGAAGATGAATTATTTGAATTCAGGACAGNAGACAATTATAAATCTGCATAGTTTCCATTATTATTATTATTATTTCTAGGAAATTCATCGTGGCCACCGTTGAATACTGATTTTCAAACGAAAACCTCTCAACCCTTATTTTTACAATTGAGCTGCTCGATTCGTTTAAAACATCGTTCGTTATTAACTACGGTCCCTGTAAAAAATTTGCCAACTTGTTTTTTCGAAATTCTGGAAAAGCTGGAAAATCAAGAAGCTGAGAAAGACGATATTTTAAATTCGAAACTGTCTGATTTGAAAATCACTTTGGACATTATTTCTTTGAACTTGCCGAAAGAAGTTTCCGAGAAATATCTGGAGGATAATATAAAGAATGATATCTTCGAGAAAGAGGGGAAGATGAATTATTTGAAGAAGATGAATTATTTGAATTCAGGACAGAATAATGTTATAAATAATTTAAAGGAGGACATCGAATGGATTTTAAAAGACGAAACGGCCACCGCGTTTTTAGATAAAAATATCGTCGACGATGAGATTTTGAAATTCGTTATAAATCATGTTTTCGAGTCTGCAGACAAATTTAGTTGTAAATTCGAGAAGGTCCCGTTGAATTTCGTTTTCTCTTCCGAGGAAAGTAAACCGAAGTTCATAAATGAATTGAAGAAATTGGAGATTTGCGAATATTGGTTGAGGGAAAAAGGAAACTTCTATTACTTAGAAAAAGTGAGAAATAATAGAGAAAGACCAGAATTGAAAGGCGATCTCGCGGACAGTATGCCAAAACAGGAAAGAGGTCAAGATGAAAATTCGAGGCATTTAAGAAAAATAGATTTCGATGATTTCAAGAATGAATGTTCATGGTTGGTCGAGCTTGAGAAACGTGAGAATTCGTTGCCAAACTTTTGGTTAATTCTCAGCGTAGAGAACGATTTTGTGAATGTCTACTTTCACTGTAGGTAAGTCGCTCTTATTGCCTGTTAAATATCTTTTATCATCATCAGTTATTATTAACAGATTTTTGGAAATCGACTCGCCGGAAGTTCTCACTTACAACCAAACCCAGAACACTTTGATCACTCAAATAAAAAGTATTTGCCGTCGAGTGAATCAGTACTTGTTACTCCAAAACCTTCACAAGACGAGTAAATGTTCAGAGTTATTAGAATCTGAGGATTACAACAGCATGGAGGATTTTAATTGGAGAACCGAGGCGAGGAAGGAAACTCTCAGCGTTCTTAAAAGTAAAGAGGGAACGCAGAATTTTACACCGGGGATGTTTCAATGCAGAGTCGTATGGAAATTTACCTTCAGATTGCACCCTAGACTGAAGACAGGACCTGGAAGACCGGGGCTGTCCAGAGGAATCAAAGCTTTACACGGCGTACTGAACAGGTACGTCTGAAAAACTTACCAATTAGTCAAGCCTTCAATTTTACAAGCAGAATTTAATTTATTGTACTAATGTTTCTGTCTGCCAATAGATTCGCAGTGACAAATCGCAGTAATATGTTCGTTTACCAAGAGAACAACAAGAACGTGTTTTATCTCCGTCTCCACGAACAAATCTCCAACAACAAGTCCCTTCAATCGAATCTATCGGACGACTCCGAACAGCTTCTCGTATCGCGAAGCAACAGCGTCGTTTCTCTATCGCAAACGACTTTGGGTAACAACAACTCTAGCGATACGCGTCCACGAGTTCGTTCCTTCAGCGAAAAACAGTCGAACGTTTTGAACAAAGACTCCGAGGATTCTATAGTGCTTATGGTCCACGGGATATCCGAGGCTGGCCCGGAAGTAAAGCACGACCTGGTTCAGGTTTTACAGAACCGATTAGACGACGCTGTACTAGAAGTTCTATCTGTAATGTTAGCCAGGAATCCGATGTGTAAATTAACACCAGCCGACGTTTGTTTTGTCCAGCCACCGACGCAACCTGAATCCATTATAGAATTAACCATCGGCGAACATTGTCTACCTTATATCTCCGCTTTAGAATTCTATTTGAAGCAAAATATTCTTCAATTCTTATACATTCCGAAGTACACGGATCGAATCGAATGTCGTTTTCGAGACCACTCGGAATTGGATAATGAGAACATTTTCCTGTATAATCAAAGCCATTCTAGTGGTAACAAAGGGATTGCTGTTATTGCTTTGTCAGCGGTGAGCAACCGAGTTACAGATTGCGGATCTACAACGGCAGATCAATCGGCTGAGAATTCTGCATTAAAGATGAATGATTCAGTTATGGGCCTCAATTCGTCGGTGCCTGGTGATACGATTTACAAACAGAGTTCGTGTTTCTTAGACATGGATTTGGAAGATTTTGAGAAAATAGTCTCGACTTCGATCTCGGAGAAGAGTGTCAAAAATTCGGACAGTTCGATTAAGTTCAAAATTTGGAAACAGGGGAAAGTGAACTTGGAATCGCTTTCAGGAAAATTAATTTTAGCAGTGAAACATTCCGTCTGGGACTTGGTCACTGAGTACAAATTCCTAGCGGCTCCGTTTTCTGAAAAGATCAATCATCACGTCGAAGAGGATAAAATTAAAGGCAGTAAAGAGAGTACTGACGAAAGTGAAGAGAAAGTTGTCGGGAATGAAAAGGGCATTAAGAACGAACAGAGCTCTGTGAGAGAAAAGAAGAAACTTATGAGAAACGAAGAGAGATCGGCCAAGCATGAAAAGAAATTCCTTAAAACCAGCGGGTCAAAGAAAGGTGAAGAGAAACATGGAAAGGACGAAGAGAATTGTAATAGAAAAGAAGAAGAACAATCTACTAAAAACAAAGATATAAAAAATGAAGAAAAACAAAATGCAAGTAAAGCAGAATCGATGGAAGCTGAAGGAGGTGAAAAATTGAGCGACATATATTGTTCTACTCTGCCAAAATGGTTCAGATTCGCACTAGACATAGGTGTGCCGTCAGTAAAAAAGCACGAGGTCATTATTGACCCTAGACACGCCATAGGAACGATAATCATAGAATTAGAAAACATTATTCAAAGTCAATCCTCAAACACCTCGTTCAAGGCTTTTGTATTAAAAAGCAGGCAACCGTTTGTGGAAAAATTCGAGTTAGACGAACAGGCGATGGTATCGAAATCCACTGAACGGAAGAAAGAATCAAAGAAGAAAGCCGAAGTTCCAACATACATACCATGGGATTATAAAAAAGATATGCAAGGAGTCTTTACAAAGTGTATTTTAATAGCTAGGAATTTCGAACAGCGGAAGCCATCGTTTAGTAATACCAACGAAACGGAATCGTTAGTACCGAAAGATCAGAAACTCTTACAAAAATTCAATCCTTTGATATTAGATTCGAATTTCGTTAAGGAAGGCTTCTTATCAAGGCAAGGAATATTGATCGCTGAAGTGCAGAGCGACAAAGTAACTTTATACATGTACCACTGGTCGAAGGAGAAGTCTGAAAAGATAATCAAGCAGACAACGAGCTTAGGCTCTTGGCTGTCATCTAGATCGAGCTTTTTCACGAACGTCACTATGCAGAAATTAGGCATATTCAGTCACAGACCGAATCACAAGAACAGTTCGCACGTGATAGAAATCGAAGGTTTAACGAAATTCGAGAAGATCGGTAAAGACTGGAACAAAGGTAGTAGCAAAGGGCAGAGCATGAATATGAAATATTCATGGAACGAAGTAATGAGAGATGTGAAATGTAGTGATAACAGCTATCATAATTCGCATTATGGGAACGTAGATCCGATCGCAAAAGCTGTTAATGAATTGCAGGAATTGAGAAATAAAGAAAAGAAAGTCAAAGGTATTAATGCCATGAATTCTTCATCTATGAAATTAGTATTTTATAAATATTTTTTTCATTTTCAGATGATCTAAGTAAACTATGTGCGATGTGGCCAGACAGGAATGTCGTGCCTAATATACCAATTTCTACTGCTGCTCTCACCGCGTTTAAACAATATTCTCGTATAATTCATTTCTGTCATACACCATTATTGTTTCTACCATCGTGGCGCTTACAATCCGCCGCGACGAGAGATCATTCGTTAACCACAGCAGCGGAACAATCAACGTTGAACAACTGCCATCAAGAGAAGCATAAAGGACAGGATGAACCAAATGAGAAATGGCATCGAGAATTATGCGAATCGATGTTAAAAGAATACAGGGAGTACCTTCATTTCCTCGGTTTTTGTTCTGTGGACGTTGAGATGAAGAAGTGAGTGATGATTCTACTGTAGAAATATTATTAATTTATTGTAATTTTTATTTATTTATTTTGTCAGTATATATATAGAATTAAAGAGGCTGAGAAATATGTAACTGATTTTTCAGCTCGGAGGGACAAGCGCAGCAACAATCTTATTATCTGAAGAAGTTGATGCTTGGAGGTGTTCTACTCTTTGAGATTCAATTGTCGGAACCATTTTTCATTGTTAAATTAAATATCATCGAGTGCAGCCGGCTTCAAACGAAAACTACCAGCGCCTCAGTTAATCAAGTGAGTTTATTATACAATCTGTATTAAATTCGTCGCAATTAATTAATCGAAATCTTTATTACAGTTCATGCTGAGTTTTGTGGACGCTTGTGATAAAATAAAAATCAACATGCACCTGCATTCGTTCACGTACGATTTTCATTTGCGTTGCATACACTCGTACATTGCTAGGAGTGGATCGATGGAGCAGGGATATCACCTGATTAATTTTCTTGATGATTTTAATAAATATTATAGCAAAGCACCGAATTATGCGAGAAATCTTATATACAGTGGTGAGTAGAATATGGCAATTTTTGTACTACGTGAATCACGAAAGCTGATGGTTTATCGTTTCAGATAATTCTAATTAACAACATAATTTAAGTTCTCAATATAATTATCGTACCTATAATTCTTTTTAAGTAGTTTACCTACCTTCCAGTCTGACGACCAATGGAATTTTTAGTTTCAAATATTTCGAAGCCGATATTATTCCTTTTGCTATTATAGTACAGTTCACTATGCCTCCGAACACGTTTACGAGAATTATTTTTACTTTTGGATCTAGAAACGTTGAAGTATTTAGACGACAGTAATTTCTTCAATCTTCCATTGAATACATTCATTAGACGAAGTCATTATATACCTTCACTAAGGATTCTGAATGCTTGATAAACTTGATCTTCCTTAACGTTTCCACCCACGTCCAAAAAATTTGCTGGTGCTCCACCGTTCAATTTAATTATGTCCATAGTAGCCATGGCTAAACCAGCGCCGTTAACTAATTAAATATATAAATATATAATAATTATTCCACTTTTCTATC